AAGGCTTGGTGTGCCCCAGATGTGTTTTGCATGTTATCTGGATGACTTCAACCACCTTGGGGAATCTGTTTCCAGTCGACTCCAAAGCCAAAGGGGGGCAACGTCGTCCTCCTTCTGCTCCTCTAGCTGGCCTTTCATGGCCTACGCTCGGCAAAAGTGGAAGGAACAATTTGTCCAACCATGGAAGGAACACGCCGGTTTTGAGCTCTTCTGGGTGAAGATGAGGATGAGCCCATCATTCCCCCACTCCCCTCCATGGAACTGTCATATTTGCCGAGAAAAGGCCACGGGGGTTGGGGTGCCTGTGGGGTTCAGTTTGTTAGGCACATATTCCATACATGGAGTGTTTGGTTATCTATTGTTACGGCCAAATTCCCAAGAATAGGGATCATCTGTCCATATCTTTCCTGTTCTCAAAATAGGATATAGGCATGGATAGGCTCTTGGGTCCGACAAACAACGGCATCTCTTCGTGTCCGTCTTTGGGGAGGTCTGGAGCCAACACACCAACCAAGAAAGACCTTGAAGATCTTAAAACCAGGTCCATACTATAGGGCAAACAGGTCACAGGTCTGCCCTTCATGATTGAACAACGATCCATTTCATCCCTTGGTCTGATCATGAAATAACTGATTTCAAGTCTGCCAATTTGAACCCCCAAAGATCCCCAAAGATCATCCGGAACCTTGACGACGAAACGGTGACACAGAGAGACGAGTTCCGGCTGTGTGAAAAAGGGGAATGGGGCGCCGCAAGGGTGGGGCTGCGACCGGATGTCCGACACCCAGGATGCTATTACGACACTCTCTGCAAGAATCATGGTCACGTGGATGGCGCTCCATTGAATCTTTAGGCGTCCCTCCTGTCCCAACCTGGTGTTTGGAGAAGTCAGAGAAGTCTCCTGAAAAAACAAACATAAGAAAAGGTGACTTATAGAGGGTGGTTCGAACGCTTCCAACCTGAGTTTTTGTTGTCCTATATCTCTCTCTGATCTCAAGGGCAAGTTCTGGTTACAGGACACCCGGAGCTCCATGAGAAACTCCACATGGCTTACTGCGCCAAGCACGCGTAAGCAGTCCGCGCATGGTGACGTCGGCCTGCCAACATTCATCCTGGAAGCAAACCTTCTTATCCTTCTTCAAGGTGACGACCTGGCGGCCATTGAATCATGAAAGACAAATTGAAGACCCTTCTGGTGACGACCCTTCTGGTGACGACCAACCCGTGAAACCACTCGGGTGTGTATAAATATTATGGAACACAGAACCCCGAACCAATTGGTTTTGGTCCATTTCCTTTCCCCCCGGGGTTCTTTGGGGGGTCTCCCTATTTTGATACACCGTCATTTAGTTTATAAACCCAATCAAGGGGATATGGAGATGTGGTGTTTCAAAACAAACCAGGGACATTCGACACTCGGGTGACCGGGGTGACCGCCTTTGGCAGACGGGCCGGACGCAACCTCTGCACGGGAACATGGGAGTACAACCTCACTGTGCCTTTCGTTGGTTTGGGGGCAGTCGATTGGCCAAAAGGCATCAGCCAAAGCTGAGATAACCAACCCAATCATAAACCAATTATGGAACACTCCCACGTCTATCCCCGGTTGACAAGCCTCGCACCATGTTTTTTCAGCCAGCCCTCCCGCAACCGGGTCAGAATTTGCCAAAGACATCGGAAATGTTGGCCCCGTCACAAAATCCCTGCGTGGTTTTTGGCAGTGCCTGACATTGAGCATTTCTAGTTCACAACCAAAAGGACAAATTTTGGGTTCACAACCAAAAGGCCAATTTGTTGGTTTCACCAACAATTTGGCCACTTTAATAAAAGGATTGTGTTCACTCACTCGAACTATGAGAATCGATGCAGCAAAAAATACTCTTACTTATCTTCATTAAAAAAGTGCGTGAGTATATCATCACCCATGTTCAGTCTTTGACTGCCCTCTTCGCATGAACCAACCACATGGACAAAAGGTGGTTCCCGAAACCAACAGTTTGCAATTAAAACATGATTTAATTCTCAAAAGAGCATTTCCCCTTATTTGTTGCACCAAACCGAACGTAAACATGTTGTTTTTAATGATTTGTTCAGTGTTGCGGTGTTGCGCAGTATTTGAGGATTGAAACCAGCCCTAACATCACTTAAAACAAATATGTTATGTATTTGTTTATGTGAAAAATGAAAACATCATTTTAATTCTGTCTTGATGGTGCCCAAATCACATTACATAGAAATGCCTATAGTATCTCCAAATAGTTTGTGGGAGATAAAGAATCATTAACATGTTTAAACCAAATCAACACCTAATCACTCCACGTATGGAATATGTGCTTGCATTGATCCTTGAAACAAGTGCCTTACTAGTAGTAACAAGGCACTTGACATACATGGAGTGTCTGGGACACGGACTCCACGGGCACACCTCGCCGCACGTTGCCTCGTCTTCGCCACGGAACTCCTCCGGGGCTCTAAGCGCGGGCGTCACTCCGTGCATCGACCTGGGCGCCACAGCCAATAACACCATTTATTGATTTGGCAGAGTATTCCAAAGCTTGCGTAAAACGTCGCAAATACAAATAAAACATGACAAGTGTCGTCCTTCTTGAGCGGGGGTAATTTATATATATATAAATAGTTTTACATATTGTAAACATACAAAACATAACATTACATTACATTGCCAAATGCATACTCACACATACATACATACATACATCCATACATGCATACATGCATACATGCATACATACATACATACATACATAAATACATACTTACATACATACTTGCATGCACACTCCACTCCACTCCACTCCACTCCACTCCACTACCCTACGTTACGTTACGTTACGTTACATACATACATCCATGCAAACATACATACACACATACTCTTCTCCAGATTAGCTCCTGTACCCAAGTCCACCTGCAGCGTACGAAGACACAACCTCAAAGCAACTAATGAGAAGAACGCCGGCCCTAGCCAATTAGCGGCCGCCATGAGGCACTCAAACATGAAAAGCACTCAGACATGAAAACGCGACCATGCGCCAGCTCAGCGAGGTCTAATACGCCACGCCGTCCTCAGATGTAGGCACAACACTTCTGACTAGAACAGCGCTTGCTGCTGGGCTGGGGTGCTGGGCTGGGGTGCTGGGCTGGGGTGCTGGGCTGCAGCGGCCTTCTCTCTTTTCCGCTTGTTCTTTGCCCTCTGGTGAGGTGAAGCCTTTCCTTGCATGAATGGAGGGGGCAGCGTGCCCACCGGAGAACAACACAAATTGAAACGCTTTGAGACTTGTAACGCAAGATACGGAACCTGAGCGTGTGAGCCATTTGGCAGTGATCCCCCCAAAACTCCTGTTTTCGTGGCTTCATTTTGAAGCCAGAAAAGCGGATGGCCTTCCTGCGCTCGTCCTCAGACTCCGCGCCATCGTGGGAGGCCAACTCCTAAAAGGAGCTGCAAGGCTGCTTTGCCACCGCCCGGCGGGTGTGCCCCTGCGTGGACCTTGGAATGTCTTTAGGGTCCACAGTTTTTAGTCGCCTGGTTGGGTGAACCCGTTTCAGAGTTCGCGACTCAACAGTTCTGACATTCCTGCCAGTAAGTACTGCCATGATTCTTCGCTTCGTGTTGCGCGAATGTGAAAGAGAAAGCCTCCGACGTGAGAATGAACACAGGACTCGAGCCCTGATCCAAGAAACACCCAGACCCAGGATGGAGCAGGCACTGCGCAGATTGCCATCGATGGTCCTGCTGCAAAATAAAGAGACCGGCCCAGGACTTTCCGCACCATCGACACGGATGGTGGAAACCTTCCTATACACCTCGATATCCCAACACTTAGTGAAGCTGAAAATTTGAGATGCCATTACATGCATTACATTACATTACATTATATTACATTACATACCCACGACGTACACACATACAAATACATGCGTATATATACACATACACACATACTTACATTACATTACATTACATTACACTACATTACATTACCTTACATCACAATACATACCCACGACGTGCACGCATACAAACACATGCACATACATATATATATATATATACACAAAGACTCACGTCGGTTTCTCGTCTTCTTTTTGCAGTGCAGACCTAGTTTTTCAATGTAAACAGTCAACCGAATTAAAAATCCTTAGGTCAAGGGCCCCCATGGCCCGGCTCCCCCCACAATTCCTCGCCAAACCGAGGTAATTGTGAGCCAAAGAGCCTAGGGTAGTCCTGGGCCCCGCCAGTCCAGGGTACGTCCAGGCCACTACCCTGCTCTTCCCTGATCTTGTTCATTTTTATACCGCCGGCGGTTCAAATTCAGTTGAAAAAATGGGCTATTTCTTGCCCTTCTTCCTTCGAGACTTCTTCCCCTTTCCACTTTCCCCTGGCCTGCCCTTCCGGGCACGCTCAAGGGGTTGGAGCTCTAGATTCTTGGACCTCGTATACTGGCGTTTGTACGCCTGTGCCTGAGAGTTGGTGTGCAATCGGAATTCTGCCAAAGTGGCAAGTCCCTCATTAATGTACACCCGAGCCGTCTTTGCAGCCTGCCACCTCCCTAGGAGGAGTAAGCGGTCTAGTGAACCGTATCTTGAAAAATAGCAGGTGGCGCCCCCTCGTCTCAGACTGTAGGGGCGGAACTGGTGGTCACTGAGTCCGCAGGCTTCCAAGCAAGCGGCAAACTTCTTGCGAATACTTTTTCTTTTGGCCGGGCAGCCTCGCTCCTCGTCTTTTGTTCCTCGCGATTTTCTCGTATCGCCTCCCTCATCTCTGGACGGGAGCTCAACACTGGTTTCTCGGGCGGCACCAGTTCCACCTTCTGAGAGATGGCCCACGAGGCTCCGGCCCCACTCATTTCTAAGCTCTTGAATCTTTGGGTCAGCGTGTCGCACGCCTCCGACACCCTCCCCTGTAGTAGGAGGTCCAATGTCCACGCTACTGTCAGCGCCTCTCGGGCCTGTCCTCCCTGCAGCCTCTGTTGCATGCACTAGCGATAGTATTGGCGGGCTATCGGTGGGATAACCCCTTCTTCGGGGTTCCACACTCCCCCCGTCCCTGTCAAAAGGGAGTGCTGGATGTCGCGGAAGGCGGCACAGGTCAAAGCTCCTGGCGCTGCTCGCCCCATTTTGCGAATCTTCTGCTCCTCGCCAAACAGCTCCACGCTCTTCTCGCTGCTGTCCTCGCTCTTAGTGTCTGAACTGGTGCCCGAGGAGGTGTCTTTCCCCCTCTTCTTCACCCTCTTGGCTGCTCTGGCCGCGAACTTCCTGCGGAAGCGGGGGTCTGGATCGACCCCTGTGCCGCCGAAGCGATTCCTCTACAGCCTTAGGCAAAGCATCACATGTCAAAAGTTTACGCACCACATGTCATATTCTGAAGTCACTGCGGTCAATGATTCCCTTTATTCACCAGCATCTTGGATCCAAAGACCTATTATAGAGCTTCCACTTTCAGAATTGTGAGCTCATATATCCCCTGTGAATCCCAACCAAAGTCCCTTCCCCCGACTGCTGCGCCACAGGACGAACCTCCTCTCCGCCACAGAAGCTTCGTCCCCTCTGACCTCCCCTCCAGTCCCCCTGCCTTGGAGTCTTCACAGCGACCCTGTCGCTGTTTTCCAACCCGGGGGGGGTGCTGGGAGCCTTCTGGGAGCCTTCTGCGTTGAAGTCGTCATCTTGGTGAAAGACCAGATACAGAGTTTTTCGTTTGGCCGGAGTTGGAGCATTAGATCTTCAATCTGCTCTTTTTTATGGTTGCGGCCCTGTCAGTACTTCCAGTGGCAGCTGGAATTCTCAACAATTACTTGGGTGTTAACGTATGTTTTTGGCCATGCAAACCATGGAAACCCAAACCCAAACTCAGTCTGATTGGTGGTATGCAATATTGCTGCAAAATAGTTGAGTCACTTGGACAACATACAGCTTTCCAAAAACATCCAAAAACAAGACCCAAACACTCCATGCATCTCGGCCTGCCTTGGGGTGTGAACCTGGGGGGTGATGCGCGCCAGCAAACAACACATATGCAGTCCCAAACCAAGGTTGAACGGTTACGCATTTTTCGAGAATTGATCCGACCGTGGGGGGGATTCGAGGACGCAGCCATCGGCCGGCCCCGCAGCCTGGATGGACGAAGGACACCAGTCGTTCGGAAACGAGTCGTGCTTTCATCATTGGCTATAGCCTTCTCAGGTACGACTGGACCCGGCCAATCACCGGCCAATAACAATGGTCGTGTGAAAAAAACGACTGATCCCATTTGGGAGCGATGCCGATGTCTCGTGGACACGTGGGTCGTCCACCTCCACCGCCCCCGCTCTCGCCTGGCGCCCGGCACCCGGTTCCGTTGCGCCTGACGGTAAGGGCGCTGGCAGAGTTCTGATCGACTGGACCCTCCTGGCACCGTGACTAATTACTACCTTAGACCACCACCACGTTCCACTACCCTTGATTAATTTCAACTCAATTTGAGGTGGGTACACCCACTCCACCTCATATTTAATTCACATAGTGCCAGACTGTTGAATTGTTTTTTGCTTTACATGGTTGTGTTCAAGCGAGATCTAACGACATGAATCATCATGGATCAATATGGGGCTCGTAAGTGAAGGCACCTGAGGGGGGTGTCTTTAGTATTAACGTTGGAGTGGTTGAGGACTCCCCTCACCCCAAATTAACTTCCAGGTGGTTTGGCATTGGAAACAAATTGACAGAAGCCGATTGAAGCAAGCAAAAGGGCATGCCTCTTATGGAAGTCGGTCGCTGTCAAGCGTCTAAGAATTGCAAATTCATCATGATTTCAGTTCTGAATATCGTCTGACAGTTTGACATATTTCAAAGTGTCACCAGTTCCTATCTAAACTATTTGGAAGTGGATTGGCTTCGAAACCACATTGACACCTGGAAATTATATGAGGTGGTGTTTGTTGTCGAGCCACCCCCAATCAAAGTATTAATCCAGGCGGGGTTCACTCAAGTACTGAAAATTGATTGACAAACACACCTACGCGTCAATTAATTAATGATTTATGATAAATTAATATAAAATAATCCATATAGTGACCCCACCCTTTAAGTAATTTCCCTAAAGTAGTACCCATCTGGCACCCACCCCAGTCCCACCTGCTCAGAGGGTACGACTGGATCCTTAGGGGTATCATACAACCTGCCTGACTCGCTGGGCCTTTCGCATTCGTCGATGCGAAAAGCTGCCATCCAGAGGGAGTGTTGGTGGCAACACTGCAAGACAGAGGGTGTGCAACATCCATATTCGTTGAATGGTCGCTCGAGTTTGACACCGAGTTTCCAAATTTGGGCTATATCCACACTTCACTTTCAAGGATCAGTTCCAGGAACTGAGCCGGCGGTGAGTTCAACTCGCTTCACACATGTTAGTCAGTCGGATCAATGATCCCATGTAAGTTGCATAATTGCACATCTATCAGAAAAAACATGAAAAACCCATCAGAACCGGGCCGCGCCTCATCCTTGGGCATGCGTGGCTTCTGATTCTCCTTCTCACCTTCACTTCCAACCCGCGGCGTACACGGCGAGTCCGGTGGCCCCGCTCGAACGATGCCGCCGCACCAACATATACCATGTTCGATATGTTTATCTAATTTTTGATGATGCGCAAGCGACCACACTGGTTGCTGTACAATGCCTGCACTTTCAGTTTTTAAATCTAATTTGCACGAGCAAAAATAACTTTGCAGTCGTCATGTTCGGATTCTATGCCAGGGTGCAAGTGTCATCAAATGTCTAATTAACAACTAGAGCTTAATCTACCACAAACACAAAAACAAAACAACTTGTTAGTGGAGTAAACCCACTGGATGTAAACTACCTTCGACTATCAAAAGTTATATAGTATAGTCATACATGCACAAATTCAGACACCACAGCTGGGGTTGCAAGACAATCGCACGTTAGCAGCTTCTCATGATTGCTTTTGTCGCAGAGCTCCAGCAAATAAACCAAGTGAACAAATCCAAGCTCGGTTCTGCCCATCTTCTCAGCTTTCTCCGTATTGCGCCTTTCGTGGGGGTGTGACATGTCGGCCTTACAGAACTCGTCCAGGTCCGCGCCCCGCGCGCTCTCCCTCCCCCCGCCTCGCCGCTCCACGCGCGGAACTGCAGCCCTCGGGCGGAAAAGGCCCAAGGGCTTCGCCTTGCGTGCGTTCGACTGGATCGACGATCACAGGAGGTGCCTCCGATCCTGGGATCCTCCATTCTTGGTGCAGAAGTGAGGCCAATAGGTGCCCAGAAAGCACCTTGTAGGGTCCCAAAACAGATTGACCGCCCCATTCACCCCTACAAAATCACTGTTCAACACCAATATAATATATTCGTCAATATGTAGTCTGACGCAGTGAGTGGGTATACGCCTTGTCCCACTGAAGTCAAAGGAAACTCCCGAAATCGACCGTTCGTCAGATCCTTGGTTTTTGAAGACTGAAAACTACCAGTTTCATCTGGCTTTGCAATGTTTTTTGCCCACGGGGCAATCTTCGGATGCCATGTTACCACTCACTCTGATGCCGTCCATCAACAGAAAAAACAAAAAGAACGTGCCAAAAAACCTTGGCTCAAAGAGAACCCTCGGCACGACACAAAAGGTTCCTGGGTCGTTGGGTTTTCTATTGGGTGGTAATATTGCGTATGTAGGAGCTCTGACCAATGCACTCTGAAATGATGGATGCCGTTGGTGGTATCGTCCGGTGGGTACACCCACCAGCATCATTCTTGAGAGTCCGGACGGTTTTTTTCTGTCTTTCCACTAATTAGCAGAACCACTAGCTGCGCTGGGGCGCACCTGGTACACAGGCCATAAGATTGGTATGAACTTCTACCCTGAAGAAAAGGCAAACACACAGCAGCAAGGGACATAGACCAATATATGCCCTCCTTTCAATATAGGTTGTTGGCTGCTTGATTATCTTGATTCACCCAAATAAAAAGTTAGGCACATCAGGCACAAGCAAAAATGTACGCTTTCCAACATCTGAGAATTCCACCTTCCTGAATCTGAGACTCCAAATTATTTTGGAACAATGTCCTATAAGAATTGTGGTACCCTTTGACTCTAAACGATAAAATTATGTTGATCCCAACCACCACTCCCTGTCAAGAGTAAAATCAATGTATATTAAAAAATATATAATATATGAATTTTTGTCAAGCATTTTTTAGTAGGGTATTGCCACGAATGAAGTACTGCCACGAATGAAATAAATTCTTATGACACATGGTACATCTGTCTGACAGTCTGAAATGCAATACCCTTGGGTTTCAATCATAGCTTAAATGCAATCCCTTTGCTTAAGAACACCTTTGGCGACAATTCACTGCAACACTGGCGCCATTGTGTTGTCCCTTTCAAGTCAGTCACGGTTCGTTTTCCCTTCCGAAACCGGACCCGTCGGAGACCGGAACCGTCGGAGACCACAGCGACGGACCGGTCCCCCGTGTCAAGTCGGTTCCGGGTGGGCGTACCCATTGAGGCAGTGTCTTGTCCTGTCGCACGGAGACCTGCCGAGTCGAGAGCGTTTCGGTCGTTGTGACCGAGCCGTTGTCGTGGTGGGCTGCCAGCTGGGGGCGCCAGCTGGGGCACCGGACTGGTCCATTGGTGTGTGGGGGGCTTGGAAGCAGTGTTGGAACGTTCACGACTGGGTGTTGGTTTGTCAATCATCCAGGTTTGGAACATCGAAAGCACTACGAACAGGCCGTTTTCCTGTGTATTTTGGGTCACACAGAAAGCCAAGTCATAGTCATGAAGACTAGCCTTTGCCCACAGAACGGGCGGGAGAGAACAGCTGCTCTAGCATGAACTTGTTTGGTCATCCCAAGTATCGTCCTCTTCTTGTAAACCAAACCACACTTGTAGTGATCCCCAAATAGATAGAAACGGTGTTCAATACATTTGGAGGTCTCTCTCTATATATAAATAGACACAACTACACATCTGCTTGTGAACGACTTGACCTGATGATCAAAGTCACAAAGTGAACCTCATATTGATACTTGGGGCACAAAACACATACTGGCTGAGCGAAGGTTCGACTCGTAAGTTAAATCTCGCAAAAACCTGCCTCCAAATCTGAGGACGTTCAAACGTGTCATTTTCTGAGGTTCTAAGAGAGTCTGACATGTGTGGTCATCTGCAACAAGTCAAACTTGTGAAGGAAGAGGAAGAGGAGCAGGATCTCAACATTTCTTTACATCCAGCCTTCAATCCCCAGGTTAAACCACAGAGTACGCAGTGTTGGGTCTGGGTGTCCAAAACGTCAAAACAAACAGCGCTCTGTGAATTTAGGGGTTGGAAAGCCAACGGGACTGTAAGGACACCAAATAGTGCCTCTCAAGTGACTCAAGGATCACATTCCTAAGGGTATATATATATATATTATATATATTACATTTAGTATCATTTAGTTATAGTAATACCTGTTGTTTCCTGGTCTTGATCCAACCAATCAACAACCAATCAGCAAAGTGGATTCTTCAACTTTGGTGATTGGTTGGGCCATGTTGGGCACGTGTTGTTCAAGTTTGGTGATTGGCTGGCTGCTGTTGTTGAAGTTTGGTTCGGGACTGCCTTTCTCAAGTGGTCAGATGCTGCGTTCTTCAGCGGTTGGTTGGGTGCTGCCTTCTTCATGGGCACTCATCGAGTAGATGACAAGACCATTAAATATGACAAAAGTCGCTGTGGGTCATGGCACGAGCCTGCTTCATCATATTGTTGACCATGTCTCATATGGTTGACCTCTCTGTTGACCATGTCTCTGTTCAATCACCGTAAGTTCACCTCTCAGAATGCAAGCAGTGCTGACCCACTCCCTCTGCTGTAGTGGCCTATCCCTCTGAGCCTCTAATTCTCGTCCTTCCAGGCGTTCCAGACGTGCCAAAGACGACTTTGGACAGACATCGCTGAGCCGGGAAAAAACACATGAGGTTCCTTTTTCGATTGGACAGAGCCGGTTGATGTTCCAACTTCTGGGGTGCATCTGCTCCAACTGCATATCAACCTTTTTGCCACAACCAATTCTCATGTTCTTAGACAACTTATGACATCTTGTGGCAACTCATTAAACTGGATACATTTGGTCACACCACACCCCGCCGGCCATTTGCTCCGGAGTTCCCGGCCGCGTCGTAGTCGCGGTGTCCGGCGCCGCCCTCCTTCTCCCAGTAGCACCTGAGCTGCGGAGCCGGCTCTGCTGCTCTGCGGCAAGGTTGCAGGTCCAGAAAACCCGGTGAAAAGATTCATGGTCCGAGTCACATCGTTCTTGAGCACCATGAAACATTGGAGTTGCAAAGTCACTTGGACACTGATGTATGGGGCCAACATCAGCTGGCAGTTGGATCGTCAGCTGATAAGTTGGATCGCCAGCTGATAAGCAATCGGAATGAGATAGAAGTGTAGTGGTGGTGGCACCATTTTGATCTACAAAGGGATAAGATGTTGACCTACCATCCTCAAAGCATGCAGAACATAGGTTCGAACTGTTCTGGTGCGCTCCATTAATGTGTATGACATTGGTAAAACGAGAGACCACGACCACGGCTTTTCCATGCTTTTCCTTGCCATCAAGTGGAGCCGATCTGGGAGCGCTGCGTTCGATCCGCCGCTTATTTTGCGCCATGCGAGAGACAAACATTGCAAACATCGTGTGGCATGATTCCATTACCGTCCCCTTAAGGCATCCTATTTGTTTTCTGGCTGCTCCCTGCCTCCGATACATGTTAGAAAATAATACGTTGACTTTGCACCTGAGGTACTTCCTTGAGGTGCATTGACCGTGCCCAACCGCAAGTACCGATCATAACACTGAACCAATTTGCCCTGCGATGAACTCGTGTGCGTTCGCTGCGCTTTGCTGGCCAATTTTCGACGTGGTCCGGATCCACCAGAATCTCAACACATGCTGTCACCAAGGAACAAGTGCCACGCTACTAGAAACAAGTGCCTTACTAGTAGTAACAATAAGAATACTACATATAAGTCAATTGTCACTCATGTGCGAAGGTTGTATTCAGGTTTTTTGTCCCCTCGTGGATGCAGTCGGGTGCAAGCTAGCTGGAACCCTTCACCCCACTTAACCAGTTGGCAGTCGATGGAACCGTCGGCTCAGAAACGGCTCAGACCTCCCCACGACCGAAAACCGAACTGACACCGGCGATCCGACGCCAAGCCGCTTCAACCATTGCAGAAACTCCAGATTGTCCTGGTACCTGCAAACGGAGAGGCAACGCAAACGGCTCAACGGCCAATTTGTTTTGAGGCCTTGATCCAGTGCCATGACATGGCCATGTGTTTATGATATCTGTATATTATATATACCTTAAGGATCCAAGTATCCTCTGAGAAGGTGTTTGGGGTGGGTTTGGAGGGTCCATTTACCTTCTGAGAAGGTTATATAGTTATCTATGAATCAAACCTAAAGCAATGGCGCCATTCCACTGGTTTGTACAATGCTGAAAATTCTGACTTCGCTGGATCTTCGCTGCGTAAGCTGGTCCCTTGTTTCAGTGAAAACGATTTGATGGGAAACAATCTATCACAACAATCAACAATCCAAGGGGCTGGAATGTTTAGAAATTGAAAACATCCACCCATCCATGTAGGCAAATAGAACATGTATACAGTAAATTATACGTGGATTGTCTGGGACCTGCATGCCAGGTTCTCGCCTTGCTGTGATCAAATGATGGATTCAATGCCATACAAGAGATAGTGAGATACACCTGTTAGTGCTTGCACTCTTGATACCTAGCTCGCTGCAAACAAAGAAAACACTCTAAACACTGTGCCTGTGTCGTAAGATTTACCACCAAAACACATCAAAACACCAAGAAGCGTAACAATATCCTCATCCGACTCTGTTTATGTATGAGTATCATTTCGATGGGCCCATGTTCTATATAAACTACTTGAAGTCGGGTCCAGGTATACACGCCCGGGTCAGAACTCCACCGGCTCCAACCCCGAGTTGTTGTTCACACCGCTCTGCAACCGGTGCACTTGCCCCGGATCAGCTGGTCCACGGGGATGTTCCGCGCGATGTCCAGACTGGGCGTTCCGTCGCGAGTCCCGGAATCTCGGAGCCAAAGGGGAAGGGCCGTGGGTTGTGGGGTTGGGCGTGGTTTTGAAGATATGGGTCCAGTGGGCTCAATCATCCCAAGTATCTGAAGTGATCTGGGAATTCAATTGCAATACCAATCAACACAATAGATTCAATGGATCTTACCATAGATCTATTGGGGATGGGTCGTTTTCTTCAACCGTAAGCCTCTCAGCTAAGTTACAATCTGATTGCTAGACCACTTATTATAGCCCTTAGAAGTGATCTTCTCATTTTGCTGGGGATGAACTATCGCCAGGTGTCATCCCCATACATTGCTGTCCACGGTTCTCTCCTTGTCCTTGTTCGAATGCGTGAAAAGGCACGACACATCGGGATGCGCTACAAGGACTTCGATCAAATCCATGCCTTGGTCCTTGCGGCACCTTGCGATTGCCCTGATGAGGCAATGAGGTGTGTAGTTTTCGATGTGTTTTGCGGAGCCTTGTGAGTCTATTGCGCACCTAGGACTAATGAACACCCTATTCATCAAGCCCAGCTCGAGCCCCCAGCACTAAACTAATAACATAAAACCTGAATTTCCACCTTGAACCCCCCTAATAACTTGTTTCCTGGCAAGCTGTAACTGCAGGTTTTACCCCATGTTGCCTATAACATGAGGGTCAGTTTTGGCATAGATGCTGGGTGTACACAGGGAAAGGGGTGCTGTTGGCATTTGCTGCTGGGGACGGGGATGGTTGTTTTTTTCCAATCAATTCAGTGTGCACCCCAAGCGTCCAATTTTTTGAGGGCTACATTGTTTGTGTCTCTGCCTGAAAGAGGCAAGGTTTGATTGGTGGACCTGTCCAAGGATACATCTCTAGGTCTTGGGAAGGGTTGGGCCACTGGTAGGCTCCACTGGCTGGCTATGTGAGAAAACAACAAATGCGTGGCTTTGTCTTGAGACAGTCTTTTCTAAATTGATCTATATTGGTCGTCTTCTGGGACTAAACAACAATCCTTTCTAGTCTAGAATCAAGTACGCAAACTCTTCAAGCCTAAAACCTCTATAGAATCAAAGGACCTGAGATTTGTTTGACAAACATCAACAAAATGTTTCCAACAAAAAGCAGCACCAACCTTCTCAACATGTTCTTGTGTCTGTACACCTTCTCTTCTAAAATAGGTACGCCAAGCTAGTCATTTTAGATTACAATGTTTTTAGTCTAAACTTATAAAACAATGAATGTTTAAGGTCCAGATGTTATACTTTTTATTCCAACATGGATACAGTGTCAAAAAGAAGAAACCACACCTAATTAATCCAAATGTCCCTCCATGCCTCTACAGCCGAGAATACCCGTTTTTGTGTTTTTGTGGCTTCAACTGGACAAAAAAGAGATCCATGTCTTTGGTATATCCGACTGGTGACCCATCCCGAACCCATGGGATGTGAGATAGGGCCATCGGACCGGTCGAAGGCCGCTTGCAGCACCTGGCAGATGAGAGGGGCCCAGGTTTCACACCGGTTCATTCGAGACAGACACACAGAAACCCAAACGCATCCAGGAATCTGTATACTTGGATAGCTTGGTGTGCGCCTTCCTATAAGCCTTTGGAGTAATTAGAGTTACTTTTCTATTTCCTGCTCGAGCTGTGGTCACCGACACAAACGCATGGCGGAGGGTTCTAACGCGGCGCCACACCAGGTCCACTCTTCCATCACCGAAGACCATCGCCGACGGTAGAACCTCTTAGAAAACGCCATATCAACAGTAGACTCACAGCAGGACCATCACCCCCCTTTGAAGAGGATGTTCAATTCTGGGGTGGTGTACATGGCATTGTTCCTTACAAGAGGGTGTTGTTCATTACATCAACGTAATCTGTCTGACCCTCTCCTGGCCACCAAACCACCCCAGCCAGACCACTCGGCTCACCCGACCACACTTTCGACCGATTAATCTGCCGATCCTGTCGGCCACAAACTGGGCCAGGGATGAGCGGTGGGTGTGATCGAACCATCGACAGCGACATACAGGAACACCGGTAAATTGACATGTACGACACATGACAACTTTCACGTTTCCCATCTTCACTCATATCTTCTTTGACGATGAATCCTCTCCCCGTCTTTGGACGAGAAAAACACACACAGCACACACGTTTCACCACACGTTTCACTGTTCGGCCAAACAACAAAAACAAATAAAAAGAGCACACATGACATACTGTCATACTGTTGTGTATATCCCATTCCCTGTGCCCGGTGGATGACGATGGTTGCAGGCCTTTCCATTCAAATAAGTGTTCGACTGTGGGCAGACCCGACTGTGAGAGGAAATGGGGCAAACCCAAAATACACATTTTAGTTTGGATTAAATATCGACCAATTGCCTACATGAGAAGCCGTTCCTCTTTTCGGGGTCCGTAGACGTCTCCCTTAGACCTTCTGCTGGGTGATCCGGTTGAAGAACTTCAAGTTAGACCTAACCCCCCCCCAACAGAATATATTGGGCATGGGTGGGCTATGTTTGAAGGCAACAAACCGCTATTTTACCCCAATCAACCCCTCCTCTTTCGCCTATCGGGACGTCTGCGACGCCTCACCGGACGCTCACCGGACGACCACCAGCACCTTAAAGTTGGGGATGTACTCGTGTTCTGCCTTGGCCATCCAGTTCACCTGCGAAAACCGCCGTGCCACCGAGCCGAGCACGTCGGTCTGTCGGTCCCGTGCCTGTCCTCGAAACACCCGCTCTGCTCGGATACGAACCCGCTCGACGGTCCGAAGAACTGAAGGTGTGCTGGTCAGCGCCATGGGAAAACACATGGATCATTCACGACTCTACCAGAAATACCGCGCCTACATTCCATAGACAAGACATCCAAATCATTCCAAATCACTTGAGAGAGGACGGGGTGAACGAAAGGTAGCAGGCAATCACAAGTAACCCTGGTAGAAGTCCACGACGGCGTGAACCGGCGCAGGGGGGATTTGATCCAGGGGGGGGGGCCCCCCCCCCCGACGAACAGAATCAACTCTTACAGGACCAAATTCAATGCACAATCTCAACTCCTGATTGTAATACATTTTTGCTAAAGCAAGGAAAACTCAGGTAGCTCAAGCTACCTTTCGTGACTTACCCGGGGGTTCTTGTAAGAAAGCCTGCTCATTTCTCAGGTTCCGCAGCTGTCATCTATGTGAGAGACGTGCTATACGGACAGCGCATCGCTCCTGTCTGGACACACCTGAAAACACGGAAACACTCCCCCAAAGTGCCTGATTACTGTTGCAGTGCGGAGCATCGTCCAATCCAACTCTATAGTGAAGAACGGAAATCACTCCTTGCATGCCCAACCAACCTCTCGATGTTCACTCCTTGTCTCCTTCAACGAACCCGTCGGCTCAATCAAAACGTGACAAAACCCCGAGTCAGTCAGTCACTGCCCCATGTACCCACACCTCCATCTCTATGCCTCCATTTCTCCCCCCGCCGAGCTATTTCTAGCCGTCCGATCCTCCGTTTCCCCCCGCGGGCTTTTTCTCTTTGGCGTCTTCGCAGGTCGGGCGCTCCGTCACTCGCCCATGGGCAGCGGCGCAAGGCCTCGAGCCTCGCGCGCCTCAGTGGACTCTCTCAGCAGGTTCGCCTGGCGTAGTCGACCCAGGCGATCCGAAGGCGAGGGGCGAGGGTCCCGGGCCGTTTTGAAGTCCGAAAGAAACATGGGGGGAAAGTCATGGAAAGCCGATTGGTTCAATGTTCAATATGGGTTTCGATTTGATCCATTGGTCCTTTCTTGGGTTGGTTGAGCAGGGTTTTGGGGACACCTAGCTAGAAAGCAATACAAAGGACATCCTGGCGGAGAGTTTGCATCATTTGTGACCAAACAACCACGCCTTTTTGAAGAATCGTAAGTTAAAGAGGTCACCCAAGCATCTACTTGCGTAGGCCGACGAATCGTCAACGAATGTATCTCCCTCCACGTTTGGCACTTCACCCGGTGAAAACAACGGAGCTTTTCCCCATGAAATGACGTCAATCTGAGCCGGAGAAAGTCACCGATCGGATCTCGTTTCTTTCGCGTGAAACTGATTCCGAGTTGGCGCAGGTGCAATCGCGGGCATCTGTTCAACCCTGACAGGATGGTGGGATGTGAACATCCAATCCAAGGCCGCCGCCGACATGGAATTCCGGCCGCCGACATGGCTTTTCTTGCGCCCCGATCGATCGGTCACCTTTTCAGAACAAAGAGTTAACACATACCAGGGCCCTAAGGGGTGGTTAATGATAGCTCCTTAGAGGTTGAGGGATGTCCATTAACCACCCCTTAGGGGACCTTGGTACTTGTCATCGTGTCTTTTCTGAAGCCAACTAGAATCCATCGTTGACGCCAAAGGATACTTATCACGATGAAGAAACACCACCCTTGTTCACAAAGGGTACGCATCTATCACAAAAACCTACAGTTGGAAGGACTTGCAAATGGACATGTTCTACCGTGGCTGGGTGTCAAAACCTTCGCTATTTAAAAAACATGTTGTGATTAAAAGTGTGCTAAGCATAGAATGTTTTACATGATATCTATGTGCCAAGTACTTGAGTCCTGTAACAGGGCTAGCTAAAAGTTACAAGCACAGCATAACTATAAAGTAAACAAACCGGTAAATACAATTAAATACAAAATCACAAACTAGCTCGAACTTCAATTGAACCAAAACAAACATGCCTTTCTTGCAGTGTTGTTTTCAATCAGTTACCCAACGCTGCAGCCACGGACCACACCCAGCTGCGGCCTTGTATTGGTCAATGAACTCTTGACGCGCCTGACCGGAGGCGTCCGGTCGGTGTCGGCCGGTGTGTGTCGACCGCGGAGCGGTCAGCGGAGACGCCGCACGGTTCGCACGGTTCGCACGGGTGCCTTGTAATAGTCGAACTGCCGTGTGGAATCGAGCCACTTGAGTTCCTGGAAAGGCGAGGGAACTGCGGAGTGGGAGAGGCCAGGTGGATGGAACTGAAGTGAAGGAAGCATCATGAAATCCTATATAGCCTTTTTGGTGAATGGGGGGAGGTACATCGATGTACATCGTATCACGGAACATGTCACCAAACTCAGGTGCCTGCCCCCAACCAAGTTCTCAACCTCGCAAACACACACACACACACACACACCTCCATCTAACTTCGGTCCATTCTGGATGTGTCTGGATGTCCCTGGTCCTGGTCCTCTTCCCTTGAGACTCTGGTCGCATCACGGTACCGAAGCGGCCCGGTGTGCGGCGGCCCGGAACCGGCCGGAGAGGGTGTAGTGAGGGGTGGTGGGTGGCGGCCTGAAGAGCTAACACAACATGACAACAAACAAGTCCATATCAGCCTGTTGGAACTGTTACTTGCCGCATTGACTGGTCCTGCCGCTGCCTCCAGTCAATATCTGTTCTTACTTTCATCTTCTAAACAAGTCCTGTTGTTACCGCCTGTGCCTGGCTGCATTGGAGACAATTTTCCACGAGGCGGTTCTTTGGGTTCTTCTTAGAGTCCACGAAGCGCAAAATGGCGATCGTTTGGTCCGGAAAATGGTCGTATTGACACAAGTCGACCCAAGCATTCCTGCCCCGGAGTATTTCATGGGCCCCAGAGCTTCGTAGTCCCATTTTCATCCATGTTCAGTGCAACCAAAGTCGGGTCCAGGTAGTACCCAGACCATCCATGTATGGTTCCATTGACCCCCTTTATACCCCTTTTCAACCACCCCTGGCAGTCCCAAAACAGGTCGGGTCCAGGTATTCTTGGGGTGGTTTCTGGTCAATGCGTATGCATGTATTCCATAGTCCCACGGAGTGGGTACAGCCTACGTCGGCTTCCCAGCGTCTGGCTGCTTATCCTATGCTCGGAGGCGAGGCAAATGTCCTGTTGTCTCATCTTGACGCGAGGGGGCCTCGTTTTTTGTTGGAAGACATGTTGCTTCGCGCAGGTTCGTAGAGGATCCCATGTAACTGGGAGCGCGGTCGGGTTGAGGCTTCATGGAGACCTCATGAAAGTTTCAGAAATGGGAGGTGATTGGCTGATTTGTTGGTCCCAGCTATGTTAGAAAGCGTAATCTTGGAGGTCGAGTTTTTGGGTTTCTTGCCCAGCTTGTGCTGATAGCAGCTCATCTTCCGAACATGGGTGAAGCTCTTCTCCTCAACTATCAGGAATCTAAAAAGCAACAACTCACCCCCCCAAAGAAAAGGAGACAATCCGTGTCAGGAAATCACTAACAAAACATTCACGAACCAGTATCATGACCGCTGTCCGCAAACATGTAAAACCTCATGCAACGTCTGAAACGACCTCTCAAAAAAACATCAAGCCACAACACAATATACCCAACCACACAAATGCACTTTTGGTCCCGACCCGACCCAAAAGCATCTCTCAAGATGCCCTCCTGGCGGTGCCAAAAACGGCTCCGGCTGCAAAGGTAGGGCGCCCATTCCCTCTGCATTTGCGGACTGACCTGAGTTGGCAGCGGAAGGGCTGAGTTGGCAGGGCGCAAAGAAATGCAGTTGGATCCGCCTTGGACTCGAGAGTAGAGTTGTACCTGGACCCAACTGACCTTTGGAATAGACTACAACCCTCATGATGACATGACCCTTCGTTGTGTACGACCCTTCCGTGCGCGGTCTTTTCTGGCCCCCACCACCTCCACGGAACGAACCCGGGCCGAGTCCGCTCTGTTGAAACACCCCAACCGATCGGTCAGTATGCCATGGAGTGTCTGGGAAAGCTCTCCAGGCAAAGCTGTCGCAATGAAGATGAATGTAAGATTGAGGTCTTACAACCCAGAAGCTGACAGGTTAAGAACGTTAAGAACATGCGCTTTGCATCTGAGGAGTTGAACATAAATCCGGGTGCGCGTGGTGTGGATAGTACCAGAGCAGGATTGAGTGCCCAGGTAAGCACCATTTAGGACAATGTTGGGGTGTGGAATATGATGCTGATGATTTTGGCCGAAACATCCTTGACTGTTTGGGATCGCCCAGCAAATTTCCATCACACAAAGTTCTGTGTTTCACCAATAGTCAAAGCTTGGGGACTTGGACACCCAAACAGAAAAGAACACACGACCGTCGTGTTGGTGAATTCTGGAGGATCCTGGATCGATGATTCAACACGTCCACCGTCCTGTCCGCGTGCGGCTCCATGCATAGGTGATTCTGTGCTACATTCCATTTGGTAAAGGACAAGTTCATCGTGGGAATCTAAGTTGGACTTTCAACAGTTTCACCAAACACATCGCTGTGGCCGGTGTTCCTTTCAGACCGGACATGGACGTCCGTCTACATGAAGGGCACAGAAAGAAGTACTATCTTTGGGTCCAAGGCAAACCATGACAAACATGTCTTCTAAGCCTGACCAGGCCATGTTTTCTGAGCCTTACCAGATTCGATGTGGTTGTGTTCTTCTTTTTGAGACTTCAACAGGAGCTCTGTTGGAAAAGGGTGTCTTCCCCTTGAGAGACACAACCCACATTGGACTTCCCAAGCGCGCGTTTCTGTGCCAGCGCCAGGCGCATGTCACCCGACAGCGTCTTAGGTACCTCAACACCGTGGTGGAGACCCACGCGGGGAGGATTTGGGGGTGGAGGGGACCACAACACAAATGAAACACATGAGTCATCGTTCATGAAACACAAACCTGTTTGTTCTATCAAAAGCAAAGAAAACAACATCTAACTGACAACCGCTGACAAAATGCTGTTGCACTGATGCTCACATGCTGTTCCTTTTAGAGACAAACCATGACAATTGAATTCTACCAATGATTCTACATCGAAAAGTAGCCAAATGCCTTGTGTTCCATCCAATCATCATGCTAGTACACAACCCTTCAGCTGCAAACAACACGAAACAAACAATACAGTACCTGATACCCCAAATATTGCAGCAACCAATGACTCCCCCATTCCTATGTCTGTGTTGGCAGTTGCCTCCAATTGCCTCCAACAAATTAAAGCTTGTTTTCGGGCCTTCTGCCAAGCACTCTGTCAAAAAAAGCAAGATCGAATCCATACGCCCCAGCAAGGCCAAGAATCACCCGCCCTGAAAAGCCTTTGATGAGAACATGCTAGCTGCTAGCTTAGCAAAGCACGCATCGGAAGCGGACCTCGTCCCGCGGGCCCCAAAACAACTGATACGTGTATTTATATCAAATTGGTTCATCCAACGGTCGACCGTTGAACTGCTGTTCACCAATGGTCGTTGAGGAGTCCGTCTGCTAGCTTCGCTCGCTTCGGGGAGGGCCTCTGAAATGATTCGAATGACTTGTTCATCTTCCACATGGGTTTTGCACATGGGTTTAACACATCCTGGCCATCCTCATTGATGTCATCAACACGTCTTTGGTCTTCGGTTTGCGGTCTGAAAAAGAACTGCGCCTTCCCATAGATGTAGAGCCAGTGGAACCACTCCTGGAAGCTGGGAGATTCAGAGCTGGGCATTCCAGCAAGAGTTCCAGGGAGAGACAGCGCGAAGCAGCAGCAGATGCTAATGTTCAATATCTGTGACCGGAAACAAAACCGTCTTGACTTCAATTGGGAATCTTCACTCACACTCATACCGACACCAGTGGGCTCCAGAAAAATAGCTACCCTTCCTTACCCTTCCCCGTTCTCGATGCATGTCACTTGGTAGAGTTGTCTTGGAGAACACCATAAACGCGGAGGTCGCCAGGTCGTCGCTCTGCGACTCGACACCTTCGACGGAGTTGGATGGACTGGTGTGACGAAGAAGGGAATGAGGGAATGGATTTGATTGGAATCCGGAATCTCTCGAAGCTCATTCCCGAGGTCATTCCCTATATCCCAGTCGCACCGTCGCACCAGCTCAGTTCTTCCATTTGAAGCGAAGGACTGCAGATCGAACGCACCCACCGACGGAGAGCGAGTCCAAGGGATATGCAGTGCATCAAAACAAACGTAGCCAAACACAGTCAGCAAGTCCGGTGGTGTCAGCAGGTTAAATACAAAGAAAACCGCATAAGAGCGCCAAACCACATAGACATTTAACGTGGTCATTTCAACAATTCGTGTAGTGATTCCCCCTAACTACAAAGTACACCTTATCCTAAATGGACATTGAAAAAACACACACTACTTTGTGAACTTGCGTCCAGGTCCCAGGGAAGCACGAGGTCCTGCAAGGGTCCAGGTGTTAAGTTGCTTGAGTTTAGTGTTTTTGCTCGCAAGAAGTGTTTTGCACCAATGTTATTTGGAAAAAATGAAAGAAGTGTTTTGGTGTTTCCGTGGCCAAGTCTTAAAACACTTGCACAACCAATAACCATTCGACCCTTCTTCTCACCCTCAATACCCTGAAACACTACAGCCATCAGTCACAAATTCCCAAAGCGCAAGCACCAAATGCCGTTTTTTAAACAAAAAATGCAAGCAGTCTCACTAATCCAAAGATCAGCTCTTCTTGAACAGCTTTCGCAGGTCTTCAAACAAACTTCCTACAAAGTGTTTACAAAGTTTTGGATCTTTACAAAAATTTGACAAAGTTTTGGAATTACAATTTTTTACCGAGTTTTTGCATTACAAAGTTTTAACAAAGTCTACAAAGTTTAAAGATAGAAATAACAAACTTCACAAAGTTTTTGGACACTTACAGTACATTGAATTTTACAAAACTTTGGAACTACGAAGTTTTTACAAGGTATTGAACCTTTAGATATCTGAACAAAGCTTTGGACATTTATCAAGCTTTGAACAAGTTTTGGAATTTTACAAAGTTGTTACCAAGTTATTGAGTTTGAAAGTTTTTACAAAGCTTTTACAAAAGTTTTTGATGCTTACAAACTTTCTACAAAGTTTCGGTTTTTCAATCTGTGTCAAAACTTTGTAAACTTTACTATTTGAAAACTTTGCAAAACGTTGTAAACTTTGTAAGAACTTTGTAAATACTTTGTAAACTTTGTAAAAGCTGTGTAAGCTTTGTAGAAAATTTGGTGAAATTCTAAAACTTTGTAAACTTTCAAAACTCTGCAACAACTGTGTAAAGATTGAACAAATTTTGCAAACTTTGTCAAAACTTCGTAAACTGCTGTTAAAATTGTAAACTTTTTAAACACTGAAACACTTTAAACTTCGTAAACCTTTGTAAAAACTTTGTACACTTTGTAAAACTGTGTAAAAAACTGCGAAAACTTTGTGTAAAAAATTGTAAAATGCGAAAACTTTGTCAAAACTTTGTAAAACACTTGTAAACTTTGTCAAAACTTTGTGAACTTTGTCAAAAAGTTTGTAAACATTGCAAACTTTGTACACTTTGTACTAACATTTTGTAAACTTTGTAAAAATTTTTTAGATGTTGTAGGCCTTCGTAAACTCTATTTAAAAAGTAGCACTTTGCAAACTTTGTAAAACGTTTTTAAACTTCGTAAACTTTGTCAAAGCATTGTAAACATGAAGACCTTGTGAACGTTGTGAAAACTTTGTAAACTTTGAACACTTTGTAAATTTCCTCAAAACTTTGTACAAATTGTGAAACTGTACAAACTTTGTAAAAACTTTGTAAAATGTGGAAAGAAACTTTGTAAACTTTGCAAATAAATAAACTATCAAAACTTTGTAATTGTTGTCAAAACTTTGTAAACTTTGTCGAAACTCTGTAAACTTTGCAAAACTTCGTAAACTTGGCAAAATCTTTGTGAACTTTCCAATATCTTCAAAACTTTGTAAACTTTGTAAAAACTTTGTAAATTTGTGTAACAAAAGGCAAATGTCGCAAACTTTGTCAGAACGTTGTAAACTTTGTAAAAACTTTGTAAACTTTGTAAAAACTGTGTAAACTATGTAAACTTTGTAAAAACTTTGTAAAACTTTGTAAAGTTCTGTGAAAGAAGTGTTTTTGCACGATTTTTTAATTGAAAAGAAGTGTTTTTCATGTCATTTGTTGTAAACACAAGTGTTTTTCACCAGCCATTTGCAAACTTTGCAAAAACTTTGTAAACTTTGTAAAAACTTTGTAAACTTTGTAAAAACT